ATATATCTGTTTTCTTAAAATAGGACAGGCCATTTATAAAATTGTTCATTTTGTATAATATTTGGTTTCATAGGCGGGATATGGGGAGGGAGATAAAACTATCAATAGCAGGCAAATTATAGATCTGAGACATACAGCAGGGGAAGATAAAGAAGGGGGTCAATTTTTTTTAAGGTTCATTTATTTGTGCATACAGAACTGGGGTACAGGCCAGAGGTACAGGGCTGCTGAGAGGATTCACTAGAGACAAAATGGGGAGCAGAACAGGCAGGTAGACAAAGTACACTGCTGAGGGGAACAGCAGGCAGGTCAGTAGAGGTCTGCAGCGCCATGTGGGTCACCTCGGGGGCGGAGATCTAACCTGTGCTATAGAAGTTTTTGGCTTCTTAGTGCTGTGATTTAACCCGCTGCCCCATGAGGGATGGCAGAAGGGGGTCAATTTTTAACATTTTTTTAAGGAGAAAAGAGCCCAGAACAACAAAGATGCTGAGAACCCTGCCTTCCCTTGGGTTATCTGAAGTTAGCTCTTTTGCTAACTAGTTTTACCTGGTTGACGTAGGTAGGTAAGCATGGAGGTCATGGTGCCCTTTATGTCTTCAGAATTTAGGACTGATCCTACTGCCAGCCATGCTGACGGACTTTGTGTGGAGCCTCCTGATGAGACTCTCTGCATCTGATAAGGAAATAGCTGCTGAGGCGGCGACATTACTGACCTTAACTCTGGAAGACCATGCCCACAAGGTCACCACGGTAAATATTAGATGCCTGGGGTGGGCTGTTCCGCAGCAGTGAAGAAACACCAGGTTTATTCTCAAAAAGGCTTTTCTTACCTGTTATTGCCCGACTTCTTTTCATATATATTTCTTGTCATTGCTCATCATGTTAGTTTAATCAAATCATTTTTTTTGTGAAAATTCTCAAGCATAAAGAAAAGCTTAGAAATAATGTAATATTCACCCACCAGTCATTCCAAATGACATTTTGCCATATTTACTTCAGCAGTGTTTAAAGAAATACACTGAAAACAATAAAACTGTAATTAAAATCCCCTGTGTAGCCATTGAGCATAATTGTTAAGACCTTTCAGTTGAAGGATAACTACTTGATGTGTACCATTTAGGGCTCTTCCTCCAACACATGTGCACCTTAGAGTTTTTAGATTAAAATCATCTTAATTTTCAGAGGGAAAATAGATAATTAGTTCCATTGTTATTCTGTTCCATTATTTTGACTTTCTCCTTAAAGGATTTTAATCAAACATATGTTTTCAATATTGAATATGTCTTATATAGTGAAATCTACTATGAAACTTTTAATGGGTATTGTCCCACTATACGTAAATGCACAACTTTATTCATCATCCAAATAAATATTTTCATTATGTAGTTACATCCATATATATGCTTTGTGCTAGTGCTTCTTTGGGTGTTAATTGCCTGCGTGATCATTCTCAGGAGGACTGAATTTTTACCTCTATGGTATACATCTGAGAAGGTACGAAACTCTTCTCCAGAATTACCAATATAGACAGTGCACTAAAACAATATTACTCAGTAATAATTTTTTTTAAAAAAAGGAAAAATGAAAAACACTGGATATATTAGAATTTTTGGCTACATGATTTCTAAAAATGAAAAGTGCCTGGCTTAAGAAGTGGCCATGGGAAAGGAGATTCTTGTTGATGTGTGAAATAATTTTTCCAGGTCTCTAAGATCGTGGATTCTATTTATAAGCAATTGCGTGAAAATCCTTCTCACGTTATGAAGCAAGCCATGTTGCTAGTTGTCACCTTGCTGACACGCACTTCACCGAAAAAGGTCATCTTTCAGCTTATGGACTACCCAGTCCCCGCAGACAAGTAAGGCACCTTCATACCTATGGCAAGGTAGACGCTTGGGTTCATGTTTGGATCATTCAGGTCTGGCTTAATATTTCCAAAAGAGAAGATTTTTATATCACATGACTGTAAGGCTGAAATAAGACCATCTACATCGTTTATATCCTTAGAAATTCCTGTAACATGAGAAATAACCACTCACTAAGACTTATCTGAAGCTTTAAACTGTGTTCTGCTGCATACCCCATAGTAAGAAACCTGTCCTCAGTTTGACAATGTAATATGACATATGTGATAAAATTATATATGAAGGACAGGTTTAAGTAGATCCACCTACCAAAAAAATAATGAAACATAAAAAATCTTCAGGTATAACTGGATGTTCCATTACTCTAGTCATGCTCTAGTCATACTACTAATTAAATGTAGCAAGTGGCTAATTTGGCAAAATGACACTTCTTTGAGCTCAGCTTTATAAAATACTTTCTTTTTTAATTTATATAGCATTTTATTTAGCTGTTAATTGCCTATTTAGTTTTTCAAATTGATTTTTAATATATTAATTTGCATTTCCACAATAGGTTTTAAGTATTCTATAATCCTATAATATCAATGTCACAAACGAGGGCTAAATGGCATTTGGGGTACAGAGAGTCCATTCATTTGTGCATTAAGCTGAACAAATATCTGAATAACAGTAGGAAATGAACTTGCAAACTATATTTCCCATATGACCATACCAAAATTATTTCTCTGTTTTCAAGGACAAGACTTCATGGGATCATTTGGAAATGGGAATATCAGTTAGTTTTGGAATTGTCTATAGTATATATATTTGCTATAAAAAAGATGTAAAAACCAAGACTCTTTATTATTCACATTACTATTCTGAATAGGAAATGAAAAACTTAGGGTTTTTATTATGGGATTATTTTCACAGCACTTTGATACTGATGTGGCAGGCAGCTGGTTCTGAGTCAAGTGTGGCCCCTCACGTGCTGAAGACTATCTTGTTGATACTGAAAGGGAAGCCTGGGGAAAGAGCCGATAGCCTGATGGAAAGAAGACGTTTCTCTATGGATGCTACCAACATGATGCCCGTGGCAGTAAATAGCATGATGAATATGTCTTTTTCTCGCTGTTCTTTTATTTTTTCTTAAAATATTTATTTATTGGGCCCTCCCTAGTGGTGTAGAGGGTTAGGATGCAGCACTGCAAGCAAGCCACAGCCGCATCAGTATGAGTTCCATCCCCTGGCCAGGAGGTGACCCACATGACACTGGCCTATATCCCAGTTCTGTAAGCATAAATAAATAAATCTTTAAAACAAAGGTTTATTTATTTATGTACACAAGAACTGGGACCTAGGGCAGAAGGGGAACGAGATGATTCACCAACGACAAAGTGGAGAGCAGAACAAGCAGATCTACTGGAATACACTGCTCAGGGGAGCAGCAGGTGGGATAGGAGTTCTTCTGATCTTGAAAGAATGTGTCTACAACAGATTCAATCATACATTTTTTTTTAACACAGTCCCAACTCTTATTCACTCATTCATCCAAAATATATTTATTGTATGCCTACTACGTACAACATTCTGATCGTGGAGCTTATGCTCAGATGAAGGACACAGAAAGGGGACCAATAAATGTCTTATGTGAGATGAATGAAAGCCTAGAAGAACTATAAAGTTGTGTCGGGCCAAATGTGAAAAGGGAGAGTTTATGTGATTTGGTCAAGATGATTAGGTGACCAACTGAATGAGGTTAAAGAATGTAGATTCTGGTCAAGAAGTTTCTAGTTCAAGAGAAGAGCATGGTCCTGGTTCAAAATTGACTTAGTCACTGTTACTACATGATTGAATGAATGAGCATACATGCGCCTTTCAAGTTTCCTACAAGGATGCTGGAAGAGATCTATTTTCTGGCCCCCCTCACTGAGGCTGTCTGGGTTTGAAGGAGATGGTCACACTCTCAGCCTCTTATCTTTCCTTTGCAGGCCTCCCAAGCCCTGTGTACATTGCTGCCTGTGGGATCTTACAGGAAAGCAGTGGCTCAGTTCTTTCCCCAACTCTTGATGGCCCTCTTGCTTCAGCTCTTTTACAGCAGCAGCTTGAGACTGGTGACAGAGAACAGGCCTTGGTGAGATAGTCACAGTTATTTCAGATTAATAATCATTAAGCTTCCAGCTGTCAGCTCTGTTTTCTCTCTTGGGTTTATATGTGGAACTCTTTATAACCCCTTGTGGAGTAATCTATTTGTACAGTTTTCTGTCTTCTGAAGAGTACAGTGGCCTCTAAACAACTTCCTAAATACCTAGAAGTTAACTTGGCCCCTCCTTTAATGTGTACATTGTGTAAACACTGCCCAGAAGACAGTTTATTCCTGCCACAATGAAGACAGGGGAGGGGTGTGGAGACTGAGAGGAGGAAGAATGGTGAGGAGCTTAAACCCCAAAGCCAGACGCATTCTACCTGTGTCATTCACACTGTTAGTCATCCCCGTAAGGAGTTATACATGTAAGATACAAATAATGTGTCCCATGTGCTTTGTGAAGTATAAAGTTGATTTGTGGTTGATGATGGGAAATGTGGGCCTATGATGGTCCACAGGGACTCTATCCAGCTACAGTGTTCAACCTTCCCTTTCACCCAAAGGAGTTCAGTTAACTCTGCTGCTCTCCAGGGAAATCTGGGCCCTAATGTCTATTACTTGCCAGCATTTTGTGGACATCTCAGCCAAACCATACTCTAAAACACAATGGAATATGTGAAGGACTATCAGTGCTTTGATGGTGGGTGTGGTGTGGTGAAATGCATCTTAAGAGGTATGAGTCTATACCTGTAAATCATATACAGTCTTGTAAACCAATATCGCCTCAATCAAATAAATAAAACACAAACAGTTCCATTAAGGTATTTAGTCTACTCTCTGCCCTCCAAAGCAGACATCCCCCAAATCATCCCACATTTGGTAAGAATATATCCTATGTATTTAAGAGAAAATAAAAAATAGCTTTAGCAAGTTACCTCATTATTTATCATGTTTTGGTAATAAGTTGTTAATAAGTTTCTGCATAATCAATCTTAGATTTAACATGCTATAATTTCATTTTAACCCCAAATCCCATATACTGCTAATCAGTGGAGATGAAGCACAGTTAGCAGTTTCTTCCTATGGAAATGTGCTCTTTCCCCAAGTCTGCAGCCTGCCCAAGGTGAAATGAAAAGGCAGGTTGGGGATAGTAATGTGTAAGTCACTGTCAGTGATAATCAGTCTTGCTCTTCTTTGAGCCGTAGCTATGCCCAGGATGCCCTGCGAGTTCTGCTGAATTGTTCTGGACTACAAGAAGTAGATGAGGCTCTAAAGATAAAGAATTGCTGGGAACAGTTTTCCCAGGCACTATTTCACCATCATGGAGTCTACCTTGTTGCCAAGTAAGATTAACAGCTTGGTACCGGGCTCTAGTTTCTATCCCACCTTCTCCAACTTTTGTTAGTAAGTCCTGTTTCAACATACACACTGCCATTCCCAAAGCTCTCCCAATGAAGTGAATTGTCATTTGATTTCTATTTCTTAATTTATTTTGAGGGGTTTCCCATTAAGAGAATTTTCCATTTTCTGCCCTCTTACTTGATGATCCAGATACCCAATTAACCTGTCGGGAACATATCTAGGAGTGAGTGCTCTTTTCTCCTTGCTAGCTGATTTCTGACTGAGGGACTCTGGCTATTAGAGATGTGCTCTCAGTTTAGAGAGAGTCAATAAAACCTGAGCTCGATGAGGTCAGTACATTTTAGAAAATGTAATGAAAGAGGACTTCTTTTTCTCATTCTAGAAAGGTTTTTTTCCCTCAGGTAAGCCCTTAGTGAACAGCAAGCTTCTAATTATAGCACTGGATTTTCTGATCAAGAATCAAGATACATGTTGGTCTTGACAACATGATGGGCCATTTGAAGCTGGGCTGACCCAGAAAATAAATACTCTGTGTGTGTGTAAGTGTGTATATATACATATGGTCACATGGATCTTGGTGGTTTAAAAATGGCATCTTATTTTCATATGGATTTTGTAAAAGTGTGGTACAGCTGTACACTGCAAGTGGCTAGCTAAGACTTCTAATAGGCTGTTTGTATTATTACATTCTAAGACACAGTAACAGTCTCCCAAATATGTATTTCTTAGATAGTATCTCCATCGCTAAGAGACACATGACTCAACCTTGAGATTTTCTTATTCAAGGTGTAGTCCACAGACGAGCAGACACAGCATTCCCAGGGAGTTAAAAATATGAAAAATCTCTTGGTCCTCTTCAAACCTACTGAATCAGAATAAGATCTCTGGATTTAAGTCCTGGTGTAGAAGACCAAGCTATAGTCTTCAAATACAATCTGGGCCACAATCTTAATCCTGAAGCTACCAATATGATCCAGGCCAGTATGTCCTGTGAGCCTGGCCATAGCCCAGGTGTTATGGAAAATGGCTTCATGAATCATTTCCTGAGTAGCCCAGCTTAAGTCGAAACACCCTTCTTCATTATGTCATTTGATAGAAGAGCTTGGCCTAAAACCAAAGTTAGTTGGCCATCTTGGATTGCTAAGATTTTTATCTTGTGCTAGTGGTCCCTTTGGTAAATTATTTGCTACAAGTTCACACAGAATGGGAGAAACAAGAAAAAGGAGTGATAATGAAGAAAGAAAGGAATGAACAGGGATCCAAATATAAATAACCCGAAGTCCGTGAAGAATTTGTAATGGAACTGCAGTTCACCTTCAGTTTGGGAATACTAGATCTTTCTTTTTATCTGACTGATACAAATTTTGTGTGAGAAAATGATTCTCTTTACAACCATTAGCATTCGCTGATGCAGACCATTTACTACTACTGTGATAATTCATCACCTTACTCTCCTTTACAGAACTCTCAGTGAATATAACTTTCCACAGTTTCCAGAGACCTTGCATTATCTTTACAAGCTCTCAGTGGAAGGTCCGAGAAGATCAGAAGACAGTATCATCACAATAATATTTCTCACTGAAGTAAGTTTTATTAAGATACTACAAATAATCAGATTCTCACTCCCTCTTCCTAATCCAAACTAAAACCAATTCTCCAAACTCCCATCTCTCTCTGAATAAAAGTATTACTAAGAGTTAAGAGAATGGCAGGCAGCTGAAATTGAGGTAGAGGTAGAGGTAGAACTGGATTATGAGAGGGTTGTCCCTTTCTCCTACTCCAGAAGTTGACTTTTGTCACTTCCTAGGGAGTGTGGATTTGCATAAGCACTGATCATTTTGTAGTATCAGTTCATACCTCTGCATGTTTCTTAAAGTACATTGAGAGGTGAGTTTACTAAAGATAGTAGGTAACACCTGGGATATATGATACTACAAATGGTCTGGTAAAAGAAGAAATGGGCTAAATACTGAGTAAAACAAAGATATAAAACTATATTACTTCATGTGAGTATTACACTGTGTATTGTAATTCCACACTATATTTAAACCAGTTGAGGACATTCTTCTGCTTTTACAAAAGGCATATAGAAAGTTTCTATAAACTGAAATTACCTGAATTAAATACAACTATTTCATAAATGATATATAGTAAAGAAATACTGATCTTAAATGTGATGCCAAGCATTTTTAAAACTTTGAGATGATTTCAAACTTCATAGTCAGCAAAATAGTTAACAAACTATAGAAAACATACCTACCCAGTATACTGTCCACTTCTAAAGCTTTCAGAGAAATACATAAATCAACTTGGTACTCTGTATTTCATATTTAATGACGATATCTTGATTTTTATGAGTAAAGCAAAAACCATACATTTGGCCTTACAGTTTTAATTATTAACTCTTTTTTTTCAGTTGCTGAATAACTTCTTCAAAGACCCATTCCCAGAAGAATTTTTGGTTCTTTTCAGAAACTGGGTCAATGATTCTAATTCTGCAGTTAGTAAATTGAGCCTTCAGAAAATTTCCAGCATGGCACCAGTTATTAACAAGGTGTGTGCATGTGTGTGTGCTTGGGTGTGTGTGTGTATGTAAGTAATTCATCACCTTATTTAAGTGCTACCAAATGCTACTTTGCCTCCTTTTAGTTCCAAAGTCCCACTATTTTCTTTCTTTTATATGTAGATAGAAAATGTCAAAAGTTTAATAATAGCCATCCTGGATGCCTTCCTTTCCAAAGACAAGACTGTTATAGCTCGGGCCTTGCTGACCCTTCGAAAACTTTTAGGCAAGCTGGACAAGGTGACCTACTCTTCTCTATGTACCAGAATTGCTTCCAGCTACTGTCCTCTCATGGATCATGTGAGTTAGTCAGTTAAGTATTTTTTTTTTAAGATTTATTTATTTATGTATACAGAACTGGGTACAGGCCAGAGGAGCAGAGGCGGTGAGAGGATTCACCAGAGACAGAGTGGGAGCAGAACAGACTGAACGTCTAAGTACACTGCTGAGGGCAGCAGCCGGCAGGTCAGAAGAGATCTGCGGCACCATGCGGATCAGCTCCCTGGCCAGGGATCGAAATTGTGCTGAAGCAGCTATGGCTAGCTTCAAGCTGTGCTTAACTCATTGTGCCACAGGGGAGGACCAAGTACTGTTTTTTTAAGCTATTCTATATGATCCTGAAAAAGTCTGCCCATAAAGAGTCAAAGAACAGCTCTGTCCTTGAGTAAGAGATGAAATATAACATTGTGACTATAGAATGGTTTACCCTGGATCTAGTTCTGCCTCTTATTAGTTGTGAGATCGTCAACAAAGTGATTCCTCCCCTTGTTACAATTTCCCACCTGTAGTAGTGTGTATATTCTGAAATTAGATTTGACATGTATAATGCTCCCCCAAAATGTTTGCTATTATACAAAACTCTAAATAAGAAAGTATTTTATTAGAAAGTTATGCCCTATAAAATGCTCATTTGGTGTGGTAAACTTGTTCCCAAAAAGTCAGTTAACAGTAATAGTTTTAATAAGAATATTTGATATTCCATTGAGAGAATCTGTTTATTTTAACAATATCTATAGTGAGCTGTTTGTGAACCAGAGAATTATTTCATAGCAAGTGATCTTACCAAAATTTGTAATTTCTTAATTATTTAGATGTCAGTCAATAAGGGAACAATATCATTTAATCTTAGAAAGAAGGAATTTAGTGACAAAAGTGATTTTCATGATATTTACATGAACTATTTTGTATATTCTCTAAAAAACCCTAAGTTAACACATAAGGAAACTATGGCAAATGAAGGAATTTTGGCCATTTTTATTCAACTAATAAGTAGTTGGTATATGCATGTAAAAGAATATTTTCAAAATGAAAACATAAGCATTCTTAAAAACTGGAAGGTGTTATTTCATTATTTTTTAAAAAGATTTATTTATTTATGCATACAGAACTGGGGTACAGGCCAGAGGTGCAAGGGCTTTGAGAGGATTCACCAGAGACAGAGTGGGGAACAGAACAGGCAGATCCAAGAAGTATACTACTGAGGGGAGCAGCGGGCAGGGGTGGGTCAGGAGAGGTCTGCCACTTCATGTGGATTACTTCCGGGGCAGGGATCGAACTCATGCTGAAGTGGCTTTAGCTTCTTAGTGCTGTGCTTTAACCAGGGTGGGTCTGGCAGGTGTTATTTAAAAAAAATAATAATAATACACTTGGGCCCTCCTTGGTGGCGCAGCAGGTTAGAGCACTGCACTGAGAAGCTAAAGCCACTTCCGTGTGAGTTCGATTCCCGCCTGCCAGGGAGGTGACCACATGGCGCGGCAGACCTCTCCTGACCCGCCCACTGCTCCCCTCAGCAGTGTACTTCGTAGATCTGCCTGTTCTGCTCCCCACTTTGTCTCTGGGGAAGCCTCTCACCGCCCCTGAGCCTCTGGCCTGTACTCCAGTTCTGTATGTACAAATAAATAAATCTTTAAAAAAAAAAAAAAACCCTCTTCCTCTTGACTTCCATTTTTTGTCTTCTAGAATCTTTACAATCCAATCACCTTTCTACATGACATAAATAACATTTGGAACTCTGGTTTTCTGTGGCATCATGAAAGAGTCCCCATTGGCATTATCTATCATCTCTACAAAGGTTGCATTTAAATACAGTATGATTGAATTACTCTAAGCAACTTTATAGAAATTTTCCCCAGTTATACAAATTATTCCAGCCAATTTTTAGTACATTAAGTACTAAACATCTTCCTAAACTTAAGAAAATTACATTTCTAAGAGGAATTTGTAATGCAATCTGAATTTTGGTAAGCAAATCTTTTAAAATCAAAAGAAATGACTCACTAGACAGAGCCAAGGTGAACCTTTTCTAAAAATATAATTTCATATATGTATATATGCAGTATATAAGACATGTACATACAAAGATATAGATAGATACAGATTCAAACATAAACAAAAATGGAGGCATAGATATCTCACTACTTCCAAGAAAGAAATCCTAGCAATATCCTCAAATGAGGCCTTTATTTATGTGCATATTCCAGAGTAATGCAGGCATTCGGTGCATGGCCATTCGACACTTTGGAGAGTTACTCAGAGACATGAGCCAATACACCTGGATGCTGAGTGATGTGATCTTTACAGGCCTGGTGCCCCTGATCCTGTTTTTGGAGGATACAGAGATAAAAGTCGTTAAAGTAAGTTCTCTGATCTTGCTTTTCTTAGTTTTGCAAAGAATCAGCATTTCCTGTAATACCAGACGAATCGATTCTCATTGACCTTTTCCTATTTCATAGGCATGTAAATTTACATTAGAAATCTGTGCCTTGGAACTGCATTGGTCAACAACATACTTGCTCAAACAACAAAATTACAACTTTGAGATGGTGGTGCTCAGCATCTGTAACAATCTTGTAAGTGATCCTTTAATGGTTACTACCATAAGAGTGATAGAAAGGGGGCTCTCCCTGGTAGTGCAGTGGGTTAAAGCACTGCATTATGAAGCTTTCAGAAGCTACTACAGCACAAGTTCAATCCCCCACCAGGGAGCTGACCCACATGGCGCAGCAGACCTCTCCTGACCCACCTGCTGCTCCCCTCAGCAGTGTATTTCAGTAGATCTGCCTGTTCTG